GAATATTAGACAAATATTAGAGTTGTGTGGAATTATGTTTTCAAATCCACACATATGCATCAAATCCACACAATATACACTTCATATATAACTTATGTCTGTACATAAGTTAAACAGTACTGCCTCTAAGATATAAACCACATCATGATTTTCTATGAGACAGACATGGTTCTAAGCCCCATTTTCTCAGGTACTGCTTAGCCTCACTATTGGGGAGATTTAGTAATGTGGTTACCCAAGACACACAAAATAATTTCTTTATTTAATTCATCACCAGAATCACTGTGGTCAGTGGGGGTGGCAGTCCTATAGGCCAGTGAAAAGTAGCTGGAGCCCTGGAATGCAGTGATGTCACGCACAGGTCACAGAATTCTACTGAAGCCGTAGCGACGAACTGTCTCACAACAGTCCTGGCTGTGTACTCAGCACTGGTCAGGACAGTGATTTATTGAGGAGATATTCTCTCAAGTGACTTGCTGTCATTGACTATAATTTGTTTATATTGATTGTTCTTGTAATTTTATTATTTGTTATCAACTGACACCCTAATAGTAGAGTTTGGGGGAGATAGGTACTTGATTTGAGTGCCTTTTTAAAGAGTTGAACCAGAAAGCATAAATAAAAAAATGAAACGTCTGGGAAGCAGATATTTCAGCAAAATTCTGAAGACGACAAGAGGTATGTGTTTAACACATTCTCTGGCCATAGGGTAACCCACTACTGTTTTCTAGAGAAAGATAATTTCTAGTTGTGATGAAGGAGAGAGGGAGAGAGGGAAAGATCAATGCGGGGGAGAGGAGAGAATAGAGGGGTTTAGGAAGGGAGTGGGAGAGAGAGAGGAGCAGAGGGAGAGAAGGAGAAAGAGAGAGACACTGAGAGGGATGTGTGTACTGACCTTTGTGTGAGCCCAGACAGTTTGAGAGGGAATTCAGATGGCCGGGTCTCTGTCTTTGTGGCTAGGATTTGAGCTTCCCGCACCATGTGACTCTAGGTTACTCTGCTTATAGACATAGTGGTTGATTAGTATAATATTTCTTAGGAAATATATTTCCCTTCATTTTATTTTTGCCTAAGGGCATTGGATCAGTAAATGGTGTTGTTACCAGTTTTCTAATAGTACTTCTGTTAACCAAAAAGGGAGTATGGTATATGGAGCTGAGGAAAACACTGGAAAAAAAGAAAAAGGAACAAAAAATGTTGAACACTTAAAACTGGTTGTGGCCCTGGCAGGTTTGCCTCAGTGGTGAGAGCGTCAGCCAGTGGTCCTGAGAGACCCTGGTTCAGTTCCCACTATGGACATGTAGCTCATTTGCAGTTTGTCCCCGGCCCTGGTTGGGTCGTGCAGGTGGCAACCACTCGATGTGTTTCTTACATGTCGATGCTTCTCTCTCACGCTCTCCCTCCCATACTATCTGAAGAAAAAATACAAAAAAATGTCCTCAGGTGAGGATAAAAAGATAAATTTAAAAAATATTAAAAGTGGAGGTGGGGTACAGACTGACAATCCCCAGAAGAGGGGATGGAGGGGGAGAGATAAACCATAGAACTTAATATGCATGTATGCATGAACAGTGGAAATGGACAACAAACTGGGGACAGGGCGGGGAGGGACAGGGAGGGGGGAATCAGTGGGGGGAAATGGAAAAACATCTGTAACAAAAATTAGTTAATAAAAAAAATAGTAAAAGTGGTTATGCAGGAATGAGAGTATAATGTCAGAAAGACTTTAGTTACCCTGTGGTAAAAGGGATGGTCCTTATACTATGCAGAAATCAATGTGGGGCTCCTTTGTGACCTGTAAGGGAACACGGTGATACACACAAACACCCTTTAACAATGATGGTTAAATTAAGAAGAAAGTTTGCATCTTTATGGAAATCGGAAAACTGAAATAGTTTGGTTACTATGAAGACTAAAAGTAAACACATAACCACTATGAGGAAGAACTGTTGCCCAGTGGTGGCAGGGATGCAGATTGGAGCCAACCCCAAAGTTCTAAGTGGTGGCTCACAGTCCTAACGAGAACCAATATTTAACTGTTAGAGATTTCTGCATCTTCCAGTAGACCTTTGGAGAAGGCTGTCTTCATTTCACTTTCAAAAACATATAGTGTATATTTAGAGAAGTATTGAGTCAGACCATAAGACAGGTATACACACATTCACACCTACTCATATATACACACATATAGAACATACCCAGGGAAAATAGATATTTACATCTAATATAATTGTCCTTCAATTATGTCTAGATCTAATTATTTGCCTCTCAAAAACACGTTATACCACTACTTCATTAGTTAGACTACATTAGGCTTTGTGACTGCTATACAAATGAATCCATTTCTTGTTTATAGAACAAATTAGCATATATGTGCAGGCCACTAGGACAAGTCTCTTTTATGAGATAATTAATGGGAATGAGCTCATAAAAACTGTGTTATCATTAACATGCGGGCTTTAAATAGACCCCAGGGTATCAACATCCGAGTCAGCTAAGAAAGGGAGGAGGATGAAGGGCACACAGGTGTGTATGGCAATGCCCGGAAGTAGCACATGTCATTTTCATTCAATTTCCATTGTAGAAACCAAATCACATCATTGTTAAGTCCAGGTAAATTGAAAAAAGCAGCCTCAGTTCCATTTACAAAGAACCTTTATGTTCACACTCAGTCACCCATGATATATAGTGACAATAAATATTACTGTGTATTAAATATTTTCATGGGTATGATGTGACACTATCCAAAAGGATGGAGGCTATGTGTGTTTACTGAGCATGTCACATAGTAGACTCTGATTGTTTAGTTGACAGATAAAAACACACATACATGAAAAAAAACATGGGACACATCTTTACTATTTTTAACTTTTTAGCAAAGTTAAATCATTTGACAATGCTTTGCAACATAGACAAAAGACAGCAGCCCTACCTCAAGGCTATAAGATTGGAAAGATTCTTCTTCCTCACACAACTTATCCTACATCTCTCCTAATGACAAGCTAACTGAGGATGCTACGAATGGACTACTCAATTGGATCAAAGGGATGTATGGTCTAGACAAACCCGAGCATTAAGGTCAGTGACCTGCACAATAGTTCATACAATGATGCACAGTACAAAAATAAACTCAGATGCGTCGTCATTGTCTCAAACATGAGCAGCAGTAGAAGCAATAATTCCACAGAAAGAGCACTTGAAAAGACTGGAGTAGTCCATGGAGATCAGTGGAAATTTATTGGAATAAATAATGGAAGAGCAACTAAGTGGCTTAGTTTTATGAGAGAAACATGGAAGAATATGGTACTATGAGCCATATAAGGGCATGTTACATGGCCAGGATGGTAAAAAGGCACTCATAACTTTTAACAGCCCCAAAGTGGTAGGATCCTCAAGAACTGAACTAGAGGTAGAGTACAGAGATACCCAATCGAAGACCCCATCACATTCATGTATTTTCATAGCCAATGTTTTCACATTCAATTTTATCCCTCATTAGACTTGGGCACTCACTATCCTCATCATTCAATCCTTATAACTTTCTACGTGCATCTGAATTCTCCATCTCTGCCTTTGTTTCCACCAATTAAAGACTCATAATTTCTCTGACTCTTAAAGACATAGATTATTAGTATCCCTCCTTTTAAATTTTATGAAAATAGAATAACACAGTATATACTTTGTATCTGGTTCCTTTCACTCCTCATTATATTTGTATAAATTGTTTATGTTGTATGTAACTCTACTTTGTCCATTCATGATATATAATGCCATTGCATGAATATTATTTCTTTACTGATAATACATTTCTGAACATTTGGGTTGCTTTGAGTCTGGGACAACTTGAAAAGTTGATGATATGAATATTCTATATCAGGTATTTGTCACTTTGGACACATTTCTGCTTCATGAATGCTTAAGAGTTAAATTGCTAAGTATTAATTTCCATATTCTATTCGAATGCCTTCAAACATCAATTTTTCCTTTTTTTACTTTCTAATACCAGCGCTTTACTGCACACTTAATCTTACACACTCTTCTCTGCACACTGCCAGTTTTGTCAAAGTCCAGGTATTTGTCTTGTTATACACCTTGACTTTCACATCCTCATGATCTTTGATGTATCCATAATTTTTTACAAACACATTCCACAAGTCTCAAAAATGAATATTTTCAGTAAAGCATTCCATATCTTAACCATATAATATATAAAACACACACACAAATCCATAATTTTAGGAAATGCAATCTACATACATATGTGTTGAATAATACAGAGCCGCAAAGCACACAGCCCATTCTCAGTGACACAAAAGTCATCCCTTATGCTGATTTGCAAACACCAAATCAATCACATATTGAATATTAACCCAGTAAGATCCAACAAGTGGTGGGCTTGTGTAAACACCACGCACATTAAAGTCATCACCCCATACTGCTACAAATATCAATAACACATAACCAGACACATTCATGAAAGATGAAGAAAATCTTAAGTAGTTAAATAATGAGTAATGAGGTTGGTTAACAATGAAACAGAGACAGTGATGTAATACTAATGCACACTTTAATTTCTTCTAAAATAAAAACTTATTTTATACATCCCTATATATTTCTCAATCAACTTATATATCAGTAAAAGTAAATATACATGCAGAAGACATCATAAAACTTGAACCACATATACCCTAATTGTACACTTTTTTAATGAGGAAATTAAGTAGATATCTGACTTTTAGTTCCTGCATACTGTCTTTCAAGGTACGGTTCTAAGTGTTTGATAATCGGATAGATATCCAGTAATGTCACATATAAGATACCCAAACCCATTTACATCCACCAAACACTGACTTCCACCAAACACGAAAATGTAATAGGTTTATTTAAATTTTGGAGGAAGTGAAATTTTCCATGGGAAAAACACCTTAATTTCTATGAAAGCAAGTGTCATGTGTGGTGATGATGCCTGATGTGTAATGTCCACTCAATGTGAAGTTTTGAATAACACAAACCCCAGAAAATGCCTCATTTCTGTTCTTTTGAAAATTCCATTTCTCAGGACTTAACACTGAAGATTATGGGTCTCAACCTGAGTCACATGAAGAGGTCACAGATCTTACTCTGACAGGTGAAGAAAACCCCAGTTTGACCTCTACCAATTTTACCTGTGTCTCCTCCCCATCCAGGACTCCACTCGGCGATGAGGGTGAGGAATATGCTGAGGTGGGATCTGAGACTGAACAAGAGATGCAGCCGAGCTGCTTAGCCCGGTCTCTACTTAGTTTAATTTCTCCTCCAACACAGGAAGGGCTTGAGGGCTGACAGACTAGTACTAAAGTTTCTGCAGAAGGACACACAGGGAGTGTGACTTTAAGGAAAAGGCAATGTCCCTCAGCACAAATTTTTTACATAGCACAAGGACAGCTGAGGCTGAGGTAGTGGACAGTGCCCGTATGTGGGTCAGGGTTCAGTCAGAACCTTCTCCTCAGATGAGCACAAACTCATATCCTCACATACACACATCTGTCCTCCTTAATACCAGGTGTGCCCCATTTCCCTGGCTTTTTCTTGTTTGCTCAACAGACAGAACTTCCGTCCACATCTATCATTTCCACTCTCTAGTAGCACTACCCAGGTACAACCTTACCTCCATCATTCACACAATCATTTTCAGACCTACCTATTTACACACTAGTTCCACACAGAATTCACACCTCTCACACACATCATCTAGGTCAGTATTTAGCAAACTCATAAGCTCTGAAAAAAATGAACATTTGTTTAACTGTTGTCTTTCTAATCCACCTGACTCTTCAGCACCAGGCCTTCAGACATTCATAGAGCTGAATGTTATGGGATCTCACACACAGCTCTCTTATATTCTCCATCTCACAGGAAGAACAGGTACCACTCCTGTTCACAGGTGCTGTCACACCACATAACACATGTGCACACACCCCTTCATTCACCATCCCCTTTACCGACATCAGAAACACTCAACCAGATATGTCGCTGCACATACATACAACTCCACAGAAAATTCATACAAAGGACCATCCTTATTCCCACTTTGTTATACATGTAAACAACCAAAACAAATCTTTGACAAGAGATGCAGCTGAGCTGCTAAGCCCAGGTTCTAATTAGATCCCTTTTCCCTCAGAAACAGGAAGGGCTTCAGGGCTGACCCACTAGTACTAAAGTTTGTGCAGAAGGACAAGAGGGAGTGTGCCTTCAAGGACAGTACAAGGTCCCTCAACACTAATCTCATACATATCTAGAAATTTCACATAAACACACACTTTTACCACATCCTCACACAGGTTATGTGCATTTTAACTCCTACAAACTTTGCACACATATTCTCATCTTCTTATGTTTGAAAATTTTTTCCTAGCATTTCATCCATCCCAGCAAAATGTTTCGCTTCTTGGAACCCAGAAGCCTCTATTTCCGTGGAGCAGTAAACGGAGGAGAATGGAGGAGCACCCAGGAGGTTTGTATGGCAATGCCTGGAAGTCTCACATGTCATTTCCATTTATTTTTTATTGTAGAAACATAATTGTATGGTCAGAACTACATGCAAAAGGAGCTGATGAATATAATACAGTTGCATTTCCAGGGAGAAAAGCGTCATTAGTCTCATTTCCACTTACACTGAACCTCCTGTCTAAGAACACAGTCACCATGACATACATTGACACAATAAATATTTTGGTGTATATACTATTTGCATAGGAACCATATTATATTCTCTCTGTAGATGGAGGCCAGGTAGATTCACGGAACTCTTCACATAGTTGATTCTTATTGATTGTTCAATGCACAAATAAAAACACATATAACAAACACAAACATCATGTCTATTATTTTTATTTCCCAAGAAAGCTAAAAATACAAAGAGAGGCTTTGCAGTATAGACACAAGGCAGCGGCCCTACCTCAAGGCTATAGAATTGGAAAGATTCTTCATCCTCACACAACTTATCCTACATCTCACCTAATGACAAGCTAACTGAGGCTGCTAGGAATGGACTATTTAATCGGATCAAAGGGATGTTGGGTGTAGAGAAAACCCAGCAATGAGCTGAGTGACCTACCCAATAGTCCACTCAAGGTTGCTCAGTACAAAAATCAACTCAGTTGCTTCTGCATTGTCTCAAACGTGATCAGCAGTAGAAGCAATAATTCCACAGGAAGAGCACTTGAAAGGACAGGAGCAGTCCAAGGAGATGAGTGGAAATTTATTGGAGGAAATAATGGGAGAGCAACTAAGTGGCTTAGAGTTTTAGGAGAGAAACATGGAAGAATATGCTACTATGAGCCATATAAGGGCATGTTACATGGCCAGGAAGGTAAAAAGGCACTCATAACTTAAAACAGCCCAAAAGTGGTAGGATCCTCAAGAACTGAACTAGAGGTAGAGTACAGAGATACCCAATCAAAGACCCCATCACATTCATGTATTTTCAGAGCCAATGTATTCTCATTCAATTTCATCCCTCGTCAGACCCTCGGCACTCACTATCCTCATCATTCATTCCTTTTCACCTCCTCCGTGCATCTGAATTCTCCATGCTCTACCTTAGTCCCCAGCAAATAAAGACTTATAATTTCTCTGTCTCCTAAAGCCATAGACTATTAGTGTCTCTGCTTTTAGATTATATGGAAATGGAAAAACACAGTATATACTTTGTGTCTGGTTCCTTTCACTCCTCATTCTATTTGCATAATTTGTTTATGTTGCATGTAACTCTAGTATGTTCATTCTTGATATATAATGCCATTGCATGAATATTATTTTCTTACTGATTATACATTTCTGAACATTTGGGTTGCTTTGAGTCTGGGACAACTTGAAAAGCTGATGTTCTGAACATTCTATATCAGGTATTTTTCACGTTGGACATATTTCTGCTTGGTGAATGCTTAAGAGTTTAATTGCTCAGTGTTAGTTTTCATAGTCTATCCTAATGCCTACAAAACTCAACCTTTCGTACTTTTATTTTCTAATACCAGCACATTATTGCACACTTAATCTTACACACTCTCCTCCGCACTCTGCCATTTTTGTCAAAGTCCAGGTGTTTGTTTTCTTATACACGTTCATTTTCACATCCTCATGATCTGTGATGTATCCCTAACACACAAATTCCACTAGTCTCAAAGAGAATATTGTCAGTAAAGCATTCCTTATCTAAACCATATAGCATATAACACACACACACCACTCCATAATTTTAGGAAATGCAATCTACATACATACATATGTGTTGAATAATACAGAGCCAAAGCACACAGCCCATTCTCAGTCACACAAAACTCGTCCCATATGCAGACATGCAAACACAAAATCAATCCCACACTAAACATTAACCCAGTTTGATCCAACATGTTGTGGGCTTGTGTAAACACCACGCAAATTAGAGTCACCTTCCCATACTGCTACAAATGTGAATAACACATAACAAGACACATTCACAAAAGATGCTGAAAATCTTAACTAGTTAAAAAATGAGTAATGAGCTTGGTTATCATTGAAACAGAGACAGTGATGTAATACTAATGCACACTTTAGTTACTTCTAAAATAAAAACTTATTTTATACATCCTTATATATTTCTCAATCAACATATATATCAGTATAAGTAAATATACATGCAGAAGACATCATAAAACTTGAACCACATATACCCTAATTGTACACTTGTTTAAAGAGGACATTTGGTAGATATCTAACATTTAGTTTCTGCATACTATCTTTCAGGCATGGTTCTAATTTTTTGATAATCATATAGATCTTCAGTAATGTACATACAAGATGCCCAAACCCACTGACATCCACCAAACATGCAACTGTAGTGTGTTTACTTAAATTTGAAGGAAATGGAATTTTCTATGGAAAAACCACTGGAAGTTTTCTGTTTGGTTGATTTGTGGAATATAATGAACATAACAGTCTGAGGAAGGGGGTAGTCCCAGAGACATGGAAGTGGGATACAGACTGACAATCCCCTAAATAGGGGTGGGGTGGGGAGGAGATAAACCACAGAATTTATATGCATGTATGCATGAACATTGGACATGGACAACAAACTGGGGAAAGGGCAGGGAGGGAGGGGGGGGAAATCAGTGGAGGGAAAAGGAGAAACATCTGTAACAAAAATTAATTAATAAAAAATGAATAAAAAAAAGGAAAACCACTGGAATGTCTATTAAAGCACGTGTCATGTGTGATGATGATATCTGATGTGTAATGTCAACTCAATGTGGAGTATTAAATAACACAAACCCTAGAATATGCCTCATTTCTGTTCTTTTCAAAATTCCAATTCCCAGGACTTAACACCGAAGAAGATGGGTCTCAGCCTGAGTCACATGAGGAGGGCACACAACTTACTCTGACACCTGAAGAAAAACCTTCTTCTTCCACCAATTTCACCTGTGTCTTCTCCACATCCAGGACTCCACTCGGCGATGAGGGTGAGAAATGTGCTGAGGTGGGATCTGAGACTGAAGAAGAGATGCAGCTGAGCTGCTTAGCCCGGTCTCTACTTAGTCTACTTTCTCCTCCAACACAGGAAGGGCTTCAGGGCTGACAGACTAGTACTAATGTTTCTGCAGAGGGACACACAGGGAGTGCGACTTCAAGGACAAGGCAAGGTCCCTCAGCAGAATTTTCCTACATAACATGACTGGGACAGTTGTGGCTGAGGTAGTGGACAGTGCCTATATGTGGGTGTGGGTTCAGTCAGAACCTTCCCCTCAGATGAGCACAAACTCATATCCTCACATACGCACATCTGTCCTCCTTCATACCAGGTGTGGCCCCATTTCCCCTGCTTTTTCCTTGTTTGCTCGAGACACAGGCCTTCCCTCCACATCTATCATCTCCACTCTCTAGTAGCACTACTCAGGTACAACCTTACCTCCATCCTTCACACAATCATTTTCAGACCTACCCATTTACACACTAGTTCCTCAAAGAATAAACACCCCTCACACAAATCATCTGGATTACATTCTTCAATCTAGGTCAACCTTTAGCAAACTCATATGCCCTGAGGATAATGAACGTTCTTTCAGCCGTTGTTTTTCTAATCCACATGACTCCTCAGCACCAGGCCTTCAGACCTTCATAGAGATGTATGTTCTGGGAGCTCACACACAGCTCTCTTACATTCTCCATCTCACAGAAAGAACAGATACCACTCCTGTTCAGAGGTGCTGTCACATCACATAACACACATGCAGACACCCCCATACTACGTCCCCTTTACTGACATCAGAAACACTCACCAGATATGTCGCTGTTCATACATCCAACTCCCACAGAACATTCATACAAAGGAGCATCCTCATTTCCACCACGTTATACATGTAAACCCCCCAAACAAATCTTTGACAAGAGATGCAGCCGAGCTGCTCAACCCAGTTTCTACTTAGATCCCTTTCCCCTCAGAATCAGGAAGGGCTTCAGGGCAGACCCACTAGTATTAAAGTTTCTGCAGAAAGACAACAGGGAGTGTGCGTTCAAGGACAGTACGTCGTCCCTCAGCACTAATCTCTTACATAGCTGGAGATTTCACATAAACATACACTTTCACCACATGTTCACACAGGTCGTGTCCATTTTAACTCCTACAAACATTGCACACATATTCTCATTTTCTTATGTTTGAAAATTTTTTTCCTAGCATTCCATCCATTCCAGCAAAATGTTTCACCTCTTGGAACCCAGAAGCCTGTATCCCTGTTTGGGAGTAAATGGAAGAGAATGGAGGGGCACCCAGGAGGTTTATATTGCAATGCCTGGAAGTCTCACATGTCATTTCCAATGTAGAAACATAATCATATGGACAGAACTACCTGCAAAGGGAGCTGATGAATATAATGCAGTTGCATTTCCAGGGAGAAAAGCATCATTGGTGTCAGTACCATTTACAGTGAACCTCCTGTCTAGGAACACAGTCACCATGACATACATTGACACAATAAATATTATGGTGCATATAATATTTGCATAGGAACCTTATTATATTCTCTCTGTAGATGGAGGCCAGGTAGATTCACGGAACACTTCACATAGTTGTTTCTTATTGATTGTTCAATGCACAAAGAAAAACACATATAACAAACATAGAAACACGTCTATTATTTTTATTTCCCAACAAAGCTATAAATAGAAAAACATGCTTTGCATATAGACACAAGGCAACGACCCTATCTCAAGGCAATAAGATTGCAATGATTATTCTTCCTCAGACAACTTATCCTACATCTTTCTTAATGACAAGCAAACTGAGGCTGCTAAGAATGAACTATTCAATCGAATCAAAGTGAATATGTGTCTAGACAATGCTCAGCAATAAGCTGAGTGACCTGCCTAATAGTCCATACAAGGTTGCTCAGTACCAAAATATATATCTTATCATTTTATTTTTTCTGGAAAAAAAAGAATACGTTTTTGTGTGTGTGTGGTATCAGTTCTTTAATCCAAGGGATATTTTACTATATTATATTTTGAGTAACTGGTGTGTTTGTTAACCTTTTATTATTATGTTGTATCAATTGACCTTTTTAATCAATGTCTTCTATTTGATTTTATATTTATCTCTTCCCTTTACACTTATCTGTAAGATAGTCTATGTATCAATTATTCAATTTAAAGCTTTATTTTGTTACTGTCTGGTTCTAATTTGTTTATTTATTTATTTTTAACCTTGCTAGACTTCTTTTTTTCTCTCAGTTTTAAATTCTCCATTTTTATTTTAGTGCATTGACTTGCCATGTTGTCTTTTTAAAATTTTCATTAATTATTAGTTTATTTTTGTTACAGATGTTTCTCCTATTCCCTTCACTGATTTCCCCCTCCCCCGCTCTCCCTGCCCTGTCCCCAGCTTTGTAGTCCATGTCCATTGTTCATGCATACATGCATATAAGTTCTGTGGTTTATCCCTCCCCCACCACTCCCTCTTCTGGGGATTGTCAGTCTGTACCCCACTTCCACATCTCTGGGACTACCTCATTCCTCAGACTGTTATGTTCATTATATTCTACAAATAAGTGAGACCATATGATACTTGTCTTTCTCTGTTTGGCTTATTTCATTTAGAATAATACTTTCCAGGTCCCTCCATGTAGTCTCAAAGGATAAGTGATTTTTCTTTCTTACAGCTGCATAGTACTCCACTGTGTATATGTACCACAGCTTTTTTATCCATTTGTCTACTGATGGACATTTGGGCTGTTTCCAGATCGTAGCCATTGTAAATAGTGCTGCTGTGAACATGGAGGTACATTTATTCTTTCTGATTGGTGTTTCAGGCTTCTTAGGGTATATTCCTCGAAGTGGGATCACTGGGTTAAATCAAGTTCAATTTTTAATTCTTTGAGGTAACACCATATTGTTTTTCATAGTGGCTGCACCAGTCTGCTTTCCCACCAGCAGTATTCTAGAGTCTCCTTTTCTACACACCCTCGCCAACACTCGTAGTTTGATGATTTGTTGATGGCGGCCATTCTGACAGGTGTGAGGTGATACCTCATTGTTGTTATAATTTCTTTCTCTCTGATGATTAGTGATGTTGAGCATTTCTTCATAATGTCTCTTAGCCATTTGTATGTCCTGTTTGGAGAGGTGTCTATTTAGTTCCTCTGCCCATTTTTCAATTGAGTTCTTTGTCTTCCTTCTGTTGAGTTGTATGAGCACTCTATATATATTAAAAATTAAACCCCTATCTGATATATCATTGGCAATTATGCTCTCCCATGCAGTGGGTAGCCTTTCCATTTTTATGATTTTATCTTTTGCTGTGCAGAAGCTTTTGAGTTTAATGTAGTCCCATGTGTTTATTTTCTCTTTTGTTTCTATTGCCTTAGGTGATGTATCAGTGAAAATTCTGCTGTGTATGATGTCTGAAATTTTGTTGACAACAGTTTCTTCTAGGATGGTTATCGATTCATAATTCACATTTAAGTCTTTTATCCATTTTGAGTTTATTCTTTTGTAGGTTGTAAGTTGATGGTCTAGATTCATTTTTTTTTTTGAATGCAGCTGTCCAATTTTCCCAACACCATTTATTAAGGAGGCTGTCCTTACTCCACTGTATGTTCTTGCCACCTTTGTCAAGTAGTAATTGTGCATATTGCCTTGGGTTCATTTCTGTGTTCTGTGTTCTGTTCCACTGGTCTATATGCCTGTTCTTGCACCAGTACCAGGCTCTTTTGATTACAGTGGCTTTGTAGTATAACCTGAAAGCTGTTAATGTGATCCCTCCAACTTTGTTCTTCTTTTTCAAGATTTCTGTGGCTATTCAAAGTCTTTTTTGGTTCCATATGAACTTTTGAAGTATTTGTTCCAATTCTGTGAAGTATGCCTTTGATATTTTGATGGGGATTGCATTGAATATATAGATTGCTTTGGGTAGTAGGGACATTTTAATGATGTTAGTTCTTCCAATCCACGAACAGGGTATGTGCTTCCACTTTTTTATATCTTTCTCTATTTCTTTTTTCAATGACCTGTAGTTTTCTGGGAATATGTCTTTTATTTTTTTGGTTAAGTTTATTCCTAGGTATCTTAATATTTTTGCTGCATTGGTAAATGGAATTGTTTTCTTAGTTTCTTTTTCTGTGAGTTCATCCGTGGTGTATAAGAATGCCATTGATTTCTTGACATTAATTTTGTATCCTGCTACTTTGCCAAATGTATTCAATAAGTGTAGTAAATTTTGGATGGAGTCTTTGGGGTTTTCTACATATAGTATCATGTCATCTGCGAATAATGACAGTTTCACTTCCTCCTTTCCAATTTGGATCTTTTTTAGTTTTTCTTCTTGTCTTATTGCTGTGGATAAGACTTTCCCTACTATGTTAAATAAGAGTGGCGAAAGTGGGCATCCTTGCCTTGTTCCTGTTCTTAAGGGAAATTCTTTTAATTTTTGCCCATTGAGTATGATGTTGGCTGTAGGTCTTTTATATATGGCCTTTATTATGTCAAGATATGATCCCTTTATTCTCACATTGCTGAGTGTTTTTATAAGAAATGTATGCTGGATTTTGTTGAAGGGTTTTTTGGCATGTATTGATATGATCAAGTGGTTTTTATTCTTCATTTTATTTATGTGGTGTATCACATTTATTGATTTGCAAATATGTACCAGCCTTGCATTCCTGGGATGAATTCCACTTGGTCATGGTGAGTAATTGTTTTGGTGTACTGCTGGATCGGATTTGCTAGTATTTTGTTCAGGATTTTGGCATCTATGTTCATCAGGGAATTGGGCTGTAGTTTTCTTTCTATGTAGTGTCTTTTTCTGGTTTTGGAATTAGAATTATGCTAGCTTCATAAAACAAGTTTGGAAGTCTTTCTTCTTGTTGAATTTGTTGAAATAGTTTGAGGAGAATGGGTGTTAGTTCTTCTGTGAATTATCGGTAAAACTTCCCTGAGAAGCCATCCGGGCCTGGGCTTTTGTTTGCTGGGAGAGTCTTGATTACATCTTCAGTTCCTTCTGTTGTTATTGGTCTGGTCAATTTTTCTATTCTTTCCTGGTCTAATTTTGGAACACTATGTGTTTCTAGAAATTTGTTTATTTTGCCTTGATTGTCTAATTTGTTGCTATATAATTGTTTATAGTATTTGTTAATGATTTTTTTGTATTTCTGTGGTGTGAGTTGTTACTTCTCCTCTTTCATTTCTGATTTTGTGTATTTGGGTTCTCTTTCTTTGTTTTGTGGTGTGCCTTTTCGAAAAACCATCTCTTTGTTTCATTTATCCTTTGAATTGTTTTTTTGGACTCTAGGTCGTTTATTTTTTCTTTGATTTTTACTATTTCATTTCTTCTACTTGCTTGGTGTTTTCTTTTTGTTTGCTCTCTAGTTTTTTACTTTGTTTGGTTAAATAGTCTATTAGAGATTTTTCTTGTTTTTTCTTGAGGTAGGCCTGTAGTGCTATGAACTTCCCTCTCAGAACTGCTTTTGCTGCATCATGTAGATTTTGTGTTTTTGTGTGTTAATTTTCATTGGTTTCCAGAAAGTTTTTAATTTCTTCCTTGATCTCCTCAGTAACCCATTCATTGTTTAATAACATGCTGTTTAGCTTCCACGTGTTCAAATGTCTTTGCATGTTCCTGTTGCCATGATTTCTAGTTTCATGCCATTGTGATCCAAAAAGATGCTTGATATGT